ATTTTGTTTGTTAAATTTCCAACTAAACATTTGCAATTAACTTTACTCTGAAGTGCAAGGAGTGTGAAGTGTAATTCAGTCGAGCACCTGAGACAAGTGCCGCAATTATGATAAGGCACACCATTACTGCTGATAAGATATGCACTGGGGTCTGGGCGCTTTATAAGAAGTCTAGGGTAATTAACTAACTGAAAAGCTAACGAGCTGCAGGCCTTTTGAATGCCTAAATGTCTCTCATCACAATGCAAATGAAATAACGATAGAGCCAAGTTAAGCTATTGGGATGCACGTACCCCCTCACTAGCCATCTAACCAGCTCCCCCGCCGCCCTTCCCCACGCTGCCGCTGCTTACGCACGAAGCGAATTGCAAAATGGAAATTGTCAGCGAAGTAAAATGCAATCATAAAATGCAATCAGTCGCCACTTACACAACACACGTGCGACAGCGTGCAGCGGGGCGGGGGAGGGTGCGGGGCCAGAGGGCGGCAAATAGAAATGGCAAAACTGAAAAGCGTCGGAAAACCTCAAATTGCAGCCAAAGCCAAATGAAGTGCAGCGCACAGCGACGAGAGTCATCCCACAAGTCCTAATGCCAGTTGCAACTCATTGAACTGAAAGCGAAGCTCAAGCAGATGCAAAGCTATACGTATACATACATTCATATACATATACATATATATATATATAATATACATACACAAAAAGAGATTGAAAAGCATAAAGAAAAACAGCAGTTAAGTCGATTGCCCCAGCGCCGTCTCTCACCTGGCAACAGTCAATGGCAGCGCGTTTCTCATGCTGATATATATAGTAGATAGTTTGTCAAAATTGCTGGGAGTAAGAGCCAGAGCCATAGTCATAGCGACGGAGTTACAAACGCAAAAGATATATGGGCAATATCATAAATATCATAGCCGACACTTTGTTTGAACACATGACATAAAGATGTTTTAGTTAAGGCAACGGGCTTCTCTATAGATCCTAAGTTCAAATGGAAAGACTATACATATATTTAAACCTATTTTGTATCACTATGGTAAAGGTGGTGCCCATGGTCCAATTCAATTATATTCGTTTTTGAACTAAAAATAGTAAATTGATTAGGAGCATTCTAATTTATAAATATTATATGTTCATCTTGTCCGTCCGTCCGTTCGTCTATTTTGCTACTATTGAAGCTAGAAAGCTGCAAATTTGGAATATATGTATATATACGTATACATTTCGTCTTTAAAAGTCATGTTCACACATGATACGATCTTTCCCCTTCAATTAACGTAACAAATTTCAGATCATATATATGGTAGAAGTGAAATACTATAACTTAAGATGCTAAATACAGTCGAAGCTCGATAATTCGTACCCCGCTAAATCGAATAAATGAAGAAATTCGTTCTCAATAATACTCGACAATTTAAATTTCAGTGTAAAGTGAAAGAAAACAGATCCCCTTGCCATTTCGAACTATCAGGTTTCTACTGTATTTAAAATTTAATTTTAATTGGCTAACGAACACAGACAATACATAGTTTATTTACATACATAGTCTATCTATATATTCTAGTCTCTTAAAGCCAGAAACTCATAATTCAATAATGTTATTACTATTAACCTCCTCTGATGATGCTTGCATATTGAGGAGTGTATCGTGTCGAAATCGAAATCATATAATTTCCATAATTTTTAATGCCAAGCCTTAAATTTAAAATTACATTACTCTAAACTTTTTCCAAGGATTGGTCGAAAATCATATATCCACCACAACTTGAACATAAGAAATCGTAAACACTGTAAAAATAAACATTGATAGATCGCATTTCTTATATATGTAGATTGATTAGAAATTGAGCTTGAGCTCATCATATCTTTATCGATCTCATGAGATTATAAAACATTCGCATCGATATGCTCGATAGACATGGATGCTAAGTCAATTCTCTTAAGAACTCTACTGGATTATAAAGCCCACTTATTTCATAATTCCAGGGTATGCGCCAGCTAGAGCTCCCGCCCACTCGCCCATTCGTCCGTCTCTCTTATTTCAGTGCATTTGAAAAGCTGCCAACGAGGAAGCAGCATCCAAAATCGCGACAACCTCGACCTATGTAGCATGCCCGTATACATGCATATATATGTGTGTGTGTGTGTGTGTGGCAAGTGAGCGGCAGCTGCTGCTGCTGCTCTGTAGTGTAGTGGAGCAGCAGGTCAGGCCGCGTCGCTCAAATTGCTGTTGCAGCACAAATTGTGGCTCATTTAAATGAACACTGTCATCGTAGTTGAAACAAAACGTGTTTTCTATCGTATTTGTTTATAAATACCCTGTACACATTGTTGACTTGAGGACGAATAGCTTAGCTGTGAAAGATGGCCTAAATGTATAAACTAATATATGTATTTATTATATTAAATTGAAACTGAAAAATTAACAGCTTTAAATATAATAACCCATGCAGTTCAACTGTCAGTCGTGCATGCCCTTTCGCTTTGCACTATGAGCCCGAAGACGAAATTGCCGCAACGAATTCGCCGTCGCTCAGCTGAGCCCAGCTAAGCCAGCAGTGCACTCTTCAGTGTATGTGTGTGTGTGTGAGTGAGTGAGTGAGTGTGTGCTTGCTCTGGCGCTCTTGTTGATACAGTTGTTATACTATCGTATTGTTTCATATTTTTATTTTCTTTATTTATGTGTGTATGTATGTGAATACCATTCGCCATCTGGCCCTGTGGCAGTTTGTACGAACTGTAATAATAATTTTGATCGAAATTTGATGATTTCGGTGCAAAATGCCACGGCAACAACAACAGCTTCATATGTATGCCATCCCTGTCTCTCACAGTGAATCTTTTAGCTTCCGCCTATTAGGTAATCTCTAGCTGCTTCCTGCAAGGCGAACGGGGAACAACAACAACAAGAGCGTGGGGCATCCTGCCTGTTCCATAACAAGCGTACATAATTTATGGCGAGCGTTAATAGCAACCTTTTATGGCGCCATTCTCCGCAGGCATAGCACAAGCCTCCAAAACACAAAACAATTTTTGCAAACAAAAATTCTACTAATTTGCAATTTTCAATTAAGAGTTTTGTTGTTGCTTTTGTTTTTAAGAAAAACATTCTCTTTGTTTTTAATGGGTATGGAGCGTGGAATTGGCTGGTGCCGCCAGGCTTTTGGAATACATGTGAGAGGTTTTTTTTTTTTTTGTTTTTTTGGCGTGAAAACAATTGTAATAAAATTACGATTAAAAAAAAAATTAATATATTTATATTTATGTATAAATGTAAGTGTGGTGTGTGTGTGTGTGGTGTGTGCGTGTGGTGTGTGTGTGTGTCTGTTTGTGTATTACTATGGTAGAGATAGTTTCGCTGCTCCAGCTGCTTCCATTGTTACCCTTAGAGGCGTCCATAGCGCGCCTGGCTTGGCTTGCGATCTGTGAAGAAGTTGCGCAACACCAGGATTTGGACGAGGCCGATCAGGATGACGCTCGCCGTTTCCAATGAAGCCCAGACCATGACACGCTGATTGATGTCCTCGGCGCGTTTACGTCCTTGGGCCTCTCTTAGGCGATGGTGCGTCTGGGCGTCGAGTATGTCGTTAAGTGCTTTGTGTATTGCCTGAGCCGACGTCTCCATTTGGGTTAGCACCGTGGCGTGCTCGTCAACGCCAGGCAGGGACGGCTCGTCACCTACCTGAAAGTCCACGTAGACGATTTTGTGCGAGAACGCAGAGAATTTATTGCTAAAACAGGCCGTATAAACACCAGTTGTCTCGGCCGTAAACTGATGGCTATCGAAGGTCGCACGCTCCAGCGAATAGATAATCTTATTCTGTGGATCCTTCAGTGTCACATCCACATCCTGCTGGCCGCCAGCCGATACCTGAAATTCGAAATAAGCGCTCGTATTGCGTTTGATCTCCTCGTAGAAGCAATCCTCGGCATTGTCCGCCAAATCGAACGTGAATTCCACTGCTCCGCTGCCCTGCAGCAGAGCCATCAGCGCTACCAGCGACAGCCACAGCATTGTAGTTAGCTTTGTGTTATTTCTGCTCTTGCTGATGTTGGTGTCGTTCCTTTGGCTGTTCAGCTGCTCGTTTCGCATCCTTACTATCTATCTTCCTCTATTTGGTATGCAGCTGGTTAATAACTAAATGAAAAATTTGCTGCCCACAGCAGCTGACTTAAGGCGTAAGTTTTCCGGGCGTTCGCGGCAATCTTCGGTTTCGGCTTTTTTGCCTAATTTAAACTGCAAAACACGTCCACACAAACACAGACACACACACACAGAGAGGCATTAGAAAAATTGAATTATTATAATTCTAGTTAATTGTGCGGCATGCGCTACTCTACTTACCTGTTTAGAACGTTATTGCAGCTGTTTTTTTTCGCCTGACTTGCGCCTCGGTGGTTAACTAAATATACCAATAATAAAATAATTGAAATTAATTCTTCGTAAGACACGAACCAAATGTTCTGTCAACGTGTCAACACTTTTTTTTGTGTTCTCGTTATGCAGCACTGGGTGAGCAGAGTTGCAAAGAACACGTATGCCTTGGCTAGTCAGTGGTTATGCTGGGATGACTCCAGACTTATTTCAAATGTGTTTCACTTACCTGATAATTCCGATGAATATTATATACGAATTAATCGTAAAATAATTGAGAGTTTCAATCGAAAGTAACTTATAGTTATATAAATGTATAGTTAATTTGTTTGTTTATGACAATTACCAATAATATCATAATATCAAAACCCACTCTTTTGGCTTACCAAAATGTACAACCACATGATAATATTAAAGCACACTCTTTAGGTAAAAAACTTTCTTAAAAATGTACACGATATATCAAGTTTAAATAATCTCGACTTACGTTACATTATGTATGTAACTTACATATACAACAGCGTAGTAAGTGTCATGCTGGCACAAATGAGTTACTCGAACAGCATGTTAACATAACATAACATAACATCATAAACAGAGAATATTGTCATATCATAACGACAATATTGTCTTTACAATTTTACAACACTTTGCTGTGAAATTGAAACTTAAAATTCAATCCAGTTTTGGTTTTCTCAGAAATTATCTCGACGCAGAAAATTTATTAATTCGCAATGGTGACCGTGGTGGACCTTAAGGTCGATCGCAATCTGTTGTGTCCCAATTTCGATGGCTACAAGCTCTCCTTTGATTCGGTACCGATGTTGCGCCAAAGCTTCCGTCACTACAATGCTTTGAAATACGAGCTGTACAAGAATCACTATTCGCTGCTGCACACCGAACTGTTTGCCAAGCACAATTTGCTTACCGCCGATCCCTGGGCCCGACGTAATACCTATTTCGTAAATACAAACCATGAGGTGGTCCAGTGCTCGTTTGACGAGATACGCAGCGATGCACGCAAGCCGCGCATTGTTTACAAAATGCAGTTCGAGGATAACGGAGATGGTTCTTATCAACCTGGAGACTATAATTATAGTATGCGTTTCATCTCTGAGAAGTATTGTGTGCTGTGCGACGGCAGGCAAAGCTATTTCCTGCTCGAGACGGGCGATCGCAGACGACACACAGAATGGCGTCTTGTGACCAAGTCGAATATAATACCTTTCTCAGAAACCCGTGGATTTGTGCTATACGATGCCAGGCTGGACATTGTGCACGGGCGCAAGCAAGTCTCTATGGTTGCCGGGCATGTGACGCGCTCCAGGTCGATGGACCGGCATTTGATGCTGCTGACTTGGTCATACTGGATGCTGCAAAATTTGGAGAAGGAGGACATCTGGTTTTATGTGAAGCGCGAGCAGCTACAGACCGTAGGCTCTGTCTATTATTGTGCTTTTGAACCGCACTCTGAATCCATCATAGTCTGTACCGATGGTCAACTGAAAACTGCAGAAGAAGCTCGTGTGGAGACTCTACAGGAGCTGAACAAATATAGTTGCCCCCAATACAAGTGGTCCCAGACAGAACGCGATATCGTCGTGAAATTCGATGTGCCAACAGGCACTAACCTCTGCAATTACGATTTAAAATACTCCTACAGTCACATCGCTTTCAAATTGTACGAGCAGACGCTGCTGGAGGGCACACTCTATGCGAGAGTCCATGGTGACCTCACCATCATTCAGTTGGATGAAAACGGACTGACGCTAAAGATGATCAAAGAGGAAGACTTTTTATGGCCGCAACTAATGCAGTGCGAGGATGAGGAGGCGGAGCAGCCGCTCTTTGACGAGGAAATCGGGGATGTCGGGGAAATCGAGGAAGAGGCAGAATCTTCAGAAGCCGAGCCAGAACCTCTGCCCATACCAAATTTGGAGGAGCCTATTGAGGAATGCGACCTTGCCATGGCCACAGACGAACCAGAGATTCAAATGGGCAAGCATAAGCATATGCAACACATTATTCCTTGCCTAATCACAGTTATTCTCTACGACTTTCTTTTCAGTTCGCTATAAACTGCACGAATCAGCAATTACACACAAAGTTTCCTTGGGGAATATACCGCCGCTCTTCACCACCTCGCTGCGTGCTGGCTTTCCTCCGGCGTTCGCCACACGCGAAGGCGTGGACGCCTCCCTATGGCTGCAGTCCTACCAGCCAGTCAATCCGTCAGATTGGAAGGTCCGTCACGAAGGCAATTTACATGCCTTTGGCTATGTGCTGGCCTCCAAGCAGCAGCGTAAATTCATTGACTGCTGTCCGGACCTAGAATATGCAGTAATTGCGGAGACCCGCCGCCATGTGTTCATCTATAAGCCGCGTAACGATTCCGCCGATGGATTGCGCAATCGCAACGGGGCGCAGGTGATCGTTGGCAAGCAACATTTAGTTACCTTGAACGATGATTTCGGTGATATACTAGGCATGGCGACTGCCCCGAATCTGATTACTTTGCTCACCGCGAAAGCTGTACTCTTTCTCTCGGTCTAACATAAACAAAACAGAATGAAATAAATGTATTGACATATGTATAATGTGCATTTATTTACAAACGAAATGTGTTTTGGCTTTTACCCCTATCCATATGTATATGTACATAGTTCATGCTTGCACTTTAGTGACACGGAATTTGAAATTCGGTCTCAGCGCGCGCGCTTTGCAACACTATCAGCTGACTGCGCTGCCATTTACACCCCATGGTGTGTTAGACCATTAACATTGTCTGGCAGCACTATCCGATTGAATGCGTACAACCTTTTTTTTTTTTTACATAAATAGCCGCGCGCAGTGGCAGGTTTTCTAGTTTGTTTTTCTTTTTTTTTTTGGAATTTTGTGTTAAATATCGGTGTCGCTATTATTACGCTGGCAATTAGAAATTAACAACGAATAACAACATAGCTGAATATTTCGCAGCACGTTAATATCGCCATTCAATTGAGTTTCAAGTGAAGTTTCTAGTAAATAATTGTGTGTGTGCATTTTAGTGGAATTGTGAAATTTTTGGTAGCGGCTCCATAAGACTTCGGATCGTCAGAGAGAATATTAAGCAGTAAGCAATCGGATCGCTAGCGCACTCACACTCATTAAACACGCACTCCCATGTACGCAGCACACAACACATTAAGCAGCAGCGTCTTCTAATTAGAACAACTCGGTCATACACACATGCAAATGTAGAGGCCCATAGACAACCTTACATATGTACACACGCACACACATGCATAAACAACAAAATAGAAACTGAAAGGGACAGCCGCAACATTTGTGCTGTTCGTAAATATATACAAATTCTTATGCATCTATTATTAAGAAATATTCAAATTCTGCATGAGCCTACAGTCGCAGTCGCAGTCAACGCTGATGTCACAGCTGTAACGGAAGTTACATAGTAAACGCAGTGCGAAGCAAATCAAAAAAAAAAAAACACGCGGCCTGCACATTTTGTTGTTCTCACGCACACATATGTATATGTATATGTATATGTATTGTATATGTATATAAATTTATACATATCTATGTATATATAGACAAATCTAAATGAAATTGTATATGAATTTCTTTTGTTTATTAAGCAAGTTGTGAAATCGTGGCAAAACAATCTACTGCAATAAATCGGAACAACAACAAAAACAGAAGTGCAAATTACAACAACAATTACAACTATTAGTAGCGACAAGTCGGAAAGAGCTAAGGCATCGCTCGTCAAATTCTCGCTGGTCAGTTGAGATTGGCCTTTGATTACACAACCAACAACAACAAAAAGAACGGCAAAAAACGAATGAAAAAAAAAAAAAACAATATTCAATATATCAGAATTAAAACGTGTGTGAAAAACATCAGCACGCGGTCGGTCACATACACGCGGTCCCATACACACACAAACACGCACACACACACATAGACAGCCTGAGCGCGCACGAGTAACAGAGACAGCGTGAGTAGCACAGTCAGTAGGAGCGAGTACAGCAGCACCAACAACAAACAGGTCATTTTGTTGTTCAGCCGACACCGACGCTGACGCCGACGCCGACGACGCCGCCGCCTTTGGGCTTTATTATTGCTTCATATTCTAAAGGCGAGAGCAACAGCTGAGCAGCAGCAGTAGCATAATACAGCAGCCTACCCAGAAATCAACCAACAACTTTGATTAGAAAGAAGCACGCGTTTGTTGCTTTTGGTATTCTTCTTCTACAGCATTTGCCGGTAAGTGTTTATTGCGCATACAAACATAGTTCTGATGACAATACATACATATAAGCTTTCAAAGTGCACTTAGGGTATGAGATTCTTTTTTTAAACAAGTGCGTAATTTCGCAGTGGGTTTGAGCTTCTATTGATTTTCGTTTTGAAATTATATGCCTTTTACCGTTGCTTTTGTATGTTCTCGCCGTTGTTGTCCAATTTTCAAGCCGTGCGCAACCTTGACATTCGCTTTCCATAGCAATTGATGTGCATACCAATTGATGTGTGTGTGTGTGTGTGTGTGTGTGTGTGTGTGTGTGTGTGCGAGTAAGTGTGAGAAGCGTGCAGCCGCTACTTACATACAGTCCAATTGAGTTGGGTCACTGCTAGTCTTGAGACTAGAAGCTTCTAATTTGATTTTCTAATCAATTTGAAAACTTATCGCTGCATACATACATACCTAGATACATATGTATGTGTGCTCTTTAATATCGTACGCGTTTAATTAAGTGCCAGTCACATTTCTGTGGAGTCATTCACTTGCTAAAATCGTCTGCTTTGTTTTTTTTTTTTAAACTGAGAACAGCGTGATTTTTTTTGTGTTATTCTTGATCACTAATTGATAAAGTGCTTCACAAAACACGCATGCGCACACACACATATGTATGTATATACATTATGATAATATATACGGCAGCTGTGTCGTCACTGACCCATTACTCATGCACAAGTCGCGTGTGATAAACGAAAAGTAAATTACTTTTTAAACGGGTTTATGCATTGCTGCGGCATTAGCTAAAAGACCTGCAAGTGGATGAGAGAGAGAGAGAGAGAGAGAGAGAGAGAGACAGAGACAGAGTGGTTGTGAAGGGGGTCGAGTGGGTGTAAGTTGCGACTTTGAAGTTCAAGGCACTCCGCCGAGAAAATAAAAGTTGAGCGAAAGCGAGAGCGAGAGCGAAAGAGCGGCGAGATCAGCTCACACACTCATACGCATACGCACCTATCAATGTATTGATATCTGCTATGGATTGCGCTCTCTTGCACATGTGAGAGCTACAATTTCACCACAAGAACGAACAGCAACAACAACAGAAACTATAGATAACCGAGTAACAACATCATGCGAATTAGCATATTATGGCTGTGTGCTACAAGACTCGCAAATATCATCGTGAGTCAGCACATTAGACGCAAACTCGCCATGAATCACGACAGGGCACGGCACCGCACGACACAAAACGTAACAGCACGGCACGACACGACACGACACGACACGAACGTGGTTGCACTTGGCCTCGCTAATAACAGTTACGCATAGACACGATCGATTACTATCGCAATCAATGTTGATTCCCCTTACAGTAAACGCATACATACACCCAAAGGCGCATTAATAGATAACTATTTATTATATATGTATGTGTGTATGTATGTATGTACTAGTGTATATAAATACATGTATCTGTATGCATAGTTTTTATCTATTGTGTGCAAAAGTTGACCTTGTCATTTATTAGTTCATTAAAGTCTATCTCAATGCCCCGTGGTGCCGCCGTCCATGGGCTAATCGCTTTGTCAAATGACGACGCAAAAAAAAAAAAAAAATAACTATAATTATGATAACAAAAAAATAATTACAGAACTAAAGGACTTTCCCGTTTTTTCGTGCGCATGTGAAATTAAATAATGCTCATTCAAAAACAAACATCAATCAAAAAATAAATAAATAAAAATAAATATATTAATAAAATATTCACAAAAATAACAAATGAAAAAAATACTGGACAGGTGTCTCGAATTAATAATACTCTATAGCGATTAAATACATAATACATACATATATTCGTATTTATTAAAATATCAAATGTCATAATTTTTATGGATTTTCTAATAATGGTTTTTCATATATTTAATCTTGACTCGAGAGTATATTAAAAAAAGACAAAATTTTTAATACATCTTTTTTTTTTTTTTACTTTATCAGGCAACGTACGCTTAAGAACTCTCTCGAATTCTTGAAGGCTCTCAGAAAAATAAATATAAAATTGATTGTGGTGAAATACCCACATATGTATATGTATTTATATGTGTATATTAATAAAGATCTTGCAGCCTAATGAGAATAGAATGAACGTATGAACTGTTCTTACTATTAACAGAGGATAATTAAAAACCGTTTCCTCTTTCTCTTTGCAATCTCTGATCTCATATTTATCTCTACAAGAGACTCGGATATTTGCTGCCCTATGTTCTAGATGTTTTTATTTATTATTAAGTGCAGGACAAGATTAACTTGGTTGTTTCTAGAGAGTTCATACATTTATGGATATAAAGATAAGATTTAATATTTGTGAGTACATTTTCACAGGGTACTTTGCTGTCGAGCTTGAGAAATATAAAAAAATAACAGTTAGATAAGATGAATTAGACATACTATATAGAGGCATATCTAACTGGGCGATAGGTAAAAATAACAATTTTTTATTGCACATACAAATATACCCTATATTTTCCTAAACTACAATTAGCCAGTTATCTAAGCGTATATCTAAGCTGTTTAATAGTTTTATCCCACTTGTTGAGCCGTTTTATGTGCCCTTAGATAAGGCACTTGTCCAAATCCCAAGGTTTATTAGTCATAATTTTAATCATATAACCAGCTGTGGACCCTAATGAAATTTTGTTGCACGTGTTAATGAAATGTATAGCAAAACAGCTCATACATATATATGGTACATACGTATGAGGGTATATGCATGCTTAGGAAACTTTGACAATGATATTCAATTTGTAGGTATTAAAATATTTATTTCGGAGAGCAATAAACGTTTCTAGTTTTTTAATAGAGACATATTCTTAGCATATGATCTCAACTCTTGCAGCAATGCCTATTTATTATAATTTATTTAGCTCTGCGGCATTTCTTCTCCTTTACATAGCTCATCGAGGAATTTTTTAGACTGATGATTTCTATCAATATTATATATATGTATGTATGTATGTATGTATTCCTGTAACATATGCCATGGTGGATTATATGATATGCTTTTCTCTTTCAATTTATGATCACAATTGAAATGTCGCTGCTTAATTGGCAATATAATTGGCACAAGAAATTTAAGCTAAATATGGATATTTATGAGTATATGTATATATCTACACATATATGCTCTACTGCGTCATCATCATCATCATAATTCTTAGAGTTATCGCCATCTTCGTCAATTGTCTCGCAATCAGCTTGTAGTGCGTCATTCTAAGGGCCGATGTTTAATTTGGAGTGGTTGATATATTTTCACTCCTCTATTTACACATCCG